GTGGTCCTGCCCAGCCAGCGGTGTCCCCAGGGACTAGGGTGGTCCTGACCTTGAGCAACAGCTGGTATTTCATAATTCTCTGCACAGGTTTAATGAGGAGGTCATTGAGCTGCAGACGGTGTCCCAGCTGCTGCCTGAGGTCCTGGAGACAAGGACAGGTCAGTTATGTAGCCTGAAAAGCCTGTTCATGCTGATTCTATGCTTTTGTCCCCTCCACCCTCAGACGCCTCACCCACTGACCTCAAAGTAGCTGTCCCCAAATTCTGACACCACATGTTCTGACTTGGGCTTATTCTGACAGTAGACCACATACATATGCAGCCGGCGCTCCTAACAGGGATAACGTGGAAGAAAGAGTAAATGGTAACAAAAGAGGCCACAGCTCCACTGAGCCCAGACCCATCACAAGCCCTTTCCCTGCTAGGGCCCAGCCTCACATGTTTGATGAACAGCTGAGCCAGCCAATCAGGATCTTTCAAACACTGCTGCAGCTCCTGCAGGAAATAGCTGGAAGAGTTGGGAGACCGGCAACACATCAAACCCTCCTAGAACCCCTCTGCCTTCTTACAATCCAGATCTTCAGTTACAAGCCCTGGTCACGCCCCCTACAGAACTCCAAAGGCTCCTTGAGTCCCAGTGAACCCTTGGTTCTGTTACAGAATCTAGGACAGAGAGATTACCAGATGAAGGCCCTTCCCCAGCACCGGGCTCAGGGCTCCATCACTCACTCTCGGTGCCACTCATAGATCTGCTGAATGTTTCCAAACACAATCCTGTCACGACCTCGGAGACTCTCCGGGACCCCCTGGGTAGCCATGGTAGCCATGTAACCCTGTAGGAAGGATGAGATGGTACTATGAGTGCGTGACCTCAGCTCCCGGTGGCCCTAACACAGAGTCCAGAGTGGAGGGTGCCAGGAAGGTGGTCCAGAGAGTACCATCTCCTGCAAACAGCCCCAGGCAGAGGGAAAGGGCAAGTGGGCCGTGTCTGGGAAGGAGAAGAGAGAACTACCTCTACAATCTGTCCCAAGTCATCCACATACATTTTTTCTGTTTCTACCAGCTCGCTCAGGACAAACCTAGGGGTACAAGGCAATACGAGGATGCCGTCACTTAAGAATGTAGACCTTCTTAGCTAGCCAGTTCTTCTTAGACTAAATGACTGTTCATCACCACAGCCACCCTCCAAGGGCCGCAAAATGTGAGGGTGTTCAGCAACTGGAGCGCGCTGTGAACTTACATACTCCTTTCCAGGGCTACCCTCTTCTGCTCTTCCTCATTCTGGGGGGCTTGAGACAAGGTCTCCTCTTCAGGTGCCTGGAAGGTAAAAGCATCCCAGGGCAAAAGGGGATACATTCTCAGTGAGGAGAGCCTTCTCAGATCTATATTCATTTGTTGGTTTTGTTTTGTTTTGAAGATTTGTGTTTTGAGACAGGGTCTTTCTATGTAGCTCTGGCCGTCCTGGAACTCACTATATAAACCAGGTTGGCCTTGAACCTACAGAGATCCACTGGTTTCTGCCTCCTGAGAGCTGGGATTACAGGTGTGGGTCACCATACCTGGCTTAAGATTTTATTATTATTATTATTATACTGTTATTGTTATTATATAGGTTTTGGGGGTATCACTGTGTGCTGGTACCCACAGAGACCAGAAGAGGGTGCTGTTTCCTTTGGGTTTAGAGATACAGGACTTGTGAGTCACATGGGTGCTAGGACCTAAACTTGGGTCTTCAGGAAGAGCAGTGTGCTTAACCACTGAGCCATACTCCAGCTGTTGTTTGATTGGCTTTGAAGCATGATCTCATATAGCCCAGGAGGGCCTGGAACTTGAATGTAGCTGAAGCTGGCCCTGAACAGGTGCATGCCCCGTGACCCGTTCTATTTCTTCATACCTGTGTCTTGTCCCCAGGACCCTCCAACAATGTAGTCAACAAGGTTAGCTCTGGCAACCCTTCTCCTGGGGCTAGCGTTGGTTCCAGCATCCAGTTCTAAGGCCAGACAGAGTTCCTGAGGTCATGAACAGCAGGCGGGCTCCCCAGTGACCAGTGACCCCAACCTGCTGCCCTCTTCCCCAGGGTCCAACGCCCTGCTTCCGTGGCACTCCCTGCTCACCTCATATTGTCCCGTCTGACCACTGTCTGCCTCAGTTTCCACACTGAGACAATGTTTGGAATGATCCAACCACTTCCTCAGGCCACTTACTGGCCCAGGGGGGACTGGAGAACAGGGGTGAGAGCTGAGGCCAGAGCTGAGGCCAGACGGGGCAGCTAGACCCGAGGCAGCGGACGCTGATCTGCTCCCCTCACTACCAGCAATGGAATAGGATTCTAGTGGGAGAACAAGACAGCAGTTGATGGGCATGGCCCCAGCTCCAGACTTAGGGTACTAGGGGAACTTCCAGCCTGACCTCTCCGTGATGTTCAGACCCTGCTTTCCAGGGTCCCCTCTTTTGCCAACCCTCATTCGAATTGGCCAGGAGAGAAATCTTTGCAAGGCATCCTGGAGTGGAAGGACAGTAAACACCTGGGTCTGGGCCTGTACTCCCCCAGTTCCATGTGGAGGTCCCCATACCCTGAGCATAGTACAGATATGGGGGTGGGGGCAGCCATCTGGGCAGATACTGGAGACTGGGGGGGAGCCATCTGCTTTCCTACAACACTCCCCCTTCCAATAGGTACAGACCATTCTCCCAGCGAGGGGTGAGGACAAAAGAGCTCAGCTGTCTGCCACCCCCAGACCCCTCCTCCTCCAACTGAAGTAATTACTATATAATTTTTTTTTTTTTGGACAGCCCACCTTTCCAGCACACGCATACACGCAACAGAGGGGGCAGAGAGGATAGCTCAGCAGTGTTATCTTTGGCCAACAACCACGAAGAGCTGCAGCCCCAGTTCTTATAAAGCTTACAGACAGTTACCCACCCACCCCCGGTTCGTCCTTCCTCTGCTCTCTTTTCTGGAGACTTTTCAGCCAACTGATTTGAGGGTAAATGCTTGGTTCTGGACCTAAGAAGACCGTGAGAGAATGTTTCCTCCTAACCAGCGGATTATAGGAAAGAGATGAGTCCTCGGACCCTTCCTCAACTTGA